CAGGGCCCTCCTAGCCCTCTTGTATTGAACTGTATTGTTGCTTTATTGTCTCCCTGTGCTGAGCAAACTGTTGGCGCTATATATAAATCCTGTATAATAATAATGGGAATAGGAGGGGTTATACAAGGCTGCCCTTGCAGATTTTATTGACACTGTTCAGTCTCTTGAATGCATTCAAATCTTAATTTTCCGATTGCTGGGGTAGTACAAATGTGCTGTTTGTTAAAGTGGTTTTAAAGGGCAACTCTTGTTTAATTAAAATAATAAATGTTCTACTTGTTGTGTGCAATGGTATTGCACAGAGCAGCCCCGCACCTCCTCTTCTGGGGTCCCTCATTGGTAATCTTGGCTCCTCCTCTTCTGTGTCTGCCCCTGTGGTAAGGGCTTGCTATAGGGACAGATGTGCAAGCTTGATCCTGAGCTAGATTGTGTGCATCCATTGACACACACAGCGGCTTGGCTCCATCTCCTGCTGCCTGTTCACAGGAGTTGACTGACGGAAGCTGGAAGCTTGTGAGACCAAGAAGAGGGGAGAAAAGACCGCGGACAGGCATGGTGCTGCATAGATATAGGACTTGGGTAAGTATTTGGGCGTGGGGGGGAGCAAGTGGCAAAACATTTTTTTTTTACCTTAATGCATTCCCTGCATTAAGGTAATGTTTTACCTTTAGAACAAATTTAAAGTATAACTAATGGCAAAACTGTTTTTTTTTTTTTTTTTTGTTTTGGATAAAGTGCAGAGGGATTCGAATGCTTGTCAGTTTTTATTGCCGTATGTGTCCCTGTTAATGAGATTCACTCTATTTGTTTTGTTTACCATTATCATTGAAAGAGAAAGTAAAAGAAAATCCCAACTTGCTATAGACCTGAGCAATTGAAGCACCTCACTCAGAGGAGTGGGGTTTTTTTTTTTTTTTTTTTTTCGTATTTGTCTTTCATGGTTTTTAAACAAATTATAATATAGGATTGTGTGTTCTATTCCGGCTGTGGTTACAAACCTGACAGTGTGGAAGAGCAGATGGATTGAGCACCTCAGATCCATCTCCAGTAAGATCATATGAAGGGTGACGTGGTTTTGACTTTTTTTATGCAATTTGTTAACCTTGAGAAAATAGTGCAATTAAATAATTGTTGCCTAAGGTACCCAGTCAAACTTCTTTCATTTTTACTAATGAAAGAAGGATAAACTGTGTTTGAACAACAGAGATGGTTTTGTTAACCAGAATGACCAGTTTTTTTTGTTTTTTTTTAATAAGACTCTCAAGTGCTGCTTTTTCAAGGCAGACATCTAGAGTTGCTAGTGTGACCTCCCAAATCCTCCTGTCCCTTGCTCAATGCCAAGCTGCAAAACTTTGACACTTCTTATTCGTCTCTTTAAACAGCCCCCTAATATGTACATATATTTGCATTTCATCTGTATACTGAAATGTTGCAAAGCTTATACTGTATGTGTATCCCTATAGGTTTGCCAAAAATGTAAGAGCAAGTTAACCGTTCCTATTTAGCATTACAATAAAACGTTTTTCAAATTTTTCCAGTGATGCCATTTTGGTTTTATGTTGCTATTGTCTGTCAAGCCTGTACGCTTTCACTGATTGTGAGAGATTAATAAATAAAGCATTTCTGTAACTGAGACTTGTGGCGTGTATATTTGCTGCTTGGAAACTGGTCTGGGCTTGCTTTCTCTGCTGTAGAAATTGTCAGATGCATCATTAATATGGTGAGGACTTTTGTTTCCCCAGCTTTAGCTGGGCTGACAGTTTCCATGGTCATGCTGAAATAAACTGCAATATACATTCTTTACCTGCTGGTCACCATTTGTTTTTGTTTTTTGTTTAATGTCTTCTATCAAGAACTTAAAAGAAAATCTTGTCTAAAACAAGTTCAGTTTGACACAAATGAAATACTTTGTGCACCAGCAGATACTGCATTTATTTTATAATGGCTTCTGCTGAGAGATGCTTGTACTAATGTGTATTCATCAGTACAATATTTCTGAAATTATAGGTAAAGCCGGCCATATATGGATCAACATTTGTCTGGTTCAGCAGGGACCAGCCAAATTTCTATCAATGTATGGGCAGGCTTGTTGTACCCAAGTTGATCCATTGATCTGCTTTGTTACAACCAGCTTGCTGATTGCGGGTGCAGTACTTTACAGGTTCCAAGTAAAACATAAATAACAAATGCAATTTTTTTTTTTTTCTAACTGCAAAAAAATGTGCATTTATTTTTTTTTTTTAAATGTGAAATTATCCTTTTTAAACTACCACTTTAATTGAGGGTAGGAACATACACACAGGCAAATTGTATTTTTTGTAATTGGCATGCTGGTCCTTTTTTCTACCAAAATGGGAGACCATTTGGGCAGCTATAGACTTCATCATTTTTTAATATATACAAACAAGTCATCCATTTGATGTAAAACTCTCCAGCTGAGACATGGCAATAAAAAAAACCTTGCAAAGGTTCTAATCCTTCTGCAATAAAGAAAAAGAAATAGCCACTATAGGAGAATCTACAAATCTCTATATGAAAAATAATATATGGTGTAACAAGTGGGTGTGAAAGTCAAATTAAAATAAATATTACATTAATCTCTCAAAATACAAATTTAAATAAAAATATGCTATATACAGTGTGTATAGAAAAGAATCGCTGCCCCTTAAAATCATATTTTGTTGCTTTATAACCTTTTTCCTTGTGGCCCTGGAATCTTCAAGGTGCTTTTTGGGAAAGCTCAGTCGTAACTGCATGTGGCCTTTCTTGAGGTGTTGATTTTTTTTCCTTGCAGCCCTCCCATACAAGCCACATTTGTAGAGAATTTGTGGTATTGTTACATGCACACAATGACAAGTCTGTCATCAGTTCCTGCAACTGCTGTAGGCCTCTTGGTAGCCTCTCTGTCCAGTTTCCTCCTGGCTCTTTCATCCAGTTTGGAGTGACGTCTTGGTCCAAGGAGGGTCTGTGTTGTACCAAATACCTTCCACTACTTAAGAACAGACTTCACTGTGCTTCTAAGCATTGATGAAGTCTTTGAAATTGTTTGTATCTCCTGACTTGTGCCTGTCCACTGTTATTATTATTATACAGTGTTTTATATAGCGCCAAAAAGTTTGCTCAGCACTGTACAATATAGTGGGGGACAGTACATGAGACAATATAGTAACAAAACAATATACGAGGGGTTCGAGGGCCCTGCTCTTTCGAGCTTACAATCTAGGAGGGAGGGGATAGTGGTACAGGAGGCTGTGGGGGATGGAGTGGTAGGCGGAGTGGAGGAGATCGGCTGTTAGGTGAGGGTGGGGTAGGCTTCCCTGAAGAGATGGGTTTTCAGGGAATTTTATCCCAGATATCTTCTGACAGTGCCTTGCCACCCCAAGTTGATTGTTTGCTTCAGTTGCACTATCAGGGACTGAAATGCTGCAGGGAAGCTCTTTTTATGCTGAGCTAATCAAAATGACCACAGCTGATCACAGCCAAAAGATAAATGGCTTTGTGTGCCTTTTGAGAAGGTGATTAGCTACACTTGATTGCGTTTTACAAGTCATTTTTAGGAGGTGGGTGATCCTTTTTCTAATGCAAGCCATACATGAGTCAAATTCCGAAATAATTTTATTTAGAAAATTGCTAATTTTGTGCATTTTATAATCCGATGGTGCCACCATTGATTTTGAAATTCAACCAGCCAAGCCTTCAAGTTCTCATGTTGCTACAGAAAAGAATTTTCGTGGCCAAGAATGTACTTTTCTCCTCAGATCACAGCTCATGCTCGTTTCTTTTTCGATTATATTTCTCGCATAAATTATTAGAAATTTGTTCGTTTTTCAAAAAATTTCCAACATGCCCGATCACTCAAATTCGACGGTCACATGAAAATCAGCTGTTTCTCTGGCCCACTAATGGTGTGAAATACAAATGAAAATTCTTAGAAATGATTTTCGAAAGAAAATTCTTTAGGAATTCGACCCATGTATGGCCAGCTTAACTCAGTGATTCTGTTTTTAATTTTTTGTGACGTGTTGGCATTATATCTTTAACTTGGATGTTTAAAGTTGTACTGAGTAAATACAGCTGGATAAAACAAAAACTGCCTTAATTTCAGGCTGCAAAGCAACAAAATGTGATTATTTTAAAGGAGGATGATTCTTTTCCCACTGTATGTGTTATATGGTAAAATCTGTAAATAACTATGCCATTAGAAGGTTTAGAAAATGCATTTGTTGAAACTCTAATTATTCTTTTATTTGTCAGCTGTCACTTTGATTTTGTGAGCATGTGAAATTTAACAGCCCATCTTATCTCTTAAGGCTGCCTTTACACTGCTGTGATGCAGTTTTCCCACACTGCGTGTGCAGTGCAGCTTACCCGCGTGTTTAGAACAATTTAGCTGCAAGTTATATTATGTCCCACGTGTTTGGTGCGCTTTTAGAAATCTCATCAAACTTATGGGACGTAATATAACTATGGGAAAGTGCTGTTAACCTGCTCCAAACACACAGGAAAGCTGTGCTGCACACGAGGTGCTGGAAAACCGCACAGCAGCAGTGTGAAAGCAGCCCAAGGTCCATGTCACACTTACAATTCTGAAGTGTAACAGTCACTTGACCCAATGGAATTTATTTACTAAAGCTGGAGAGTGCAAAATCAGACTCCCTTCTGCATAGAAACCAATCAGCTTCCAGGTTTCATTGCCAAAGCTTCATTGAACAAGCTGAGGTTAGAAGCTGATTGGTTTCTATGCAGAAGGGAGTCTGATTTTGGACTCTCCAGCTTTAGTAAATAAACCCCAATATGTCATTCCTTTGTTTAAAACACTAGTTTTGAAGCAGCAGGAGAATGACATCTTTCTGGTCTGGCCAGTATGTATACAAACGCCATAGAAAGTGAGTGGGCCCAGAATCACTAGTGTGACATGAACCCATTGCCTTCTGCTTTAAACAGTTTATATTTTTCTTTCTGAAAAAAAAAAAAAAAAACTTAAATTTTTTTCTTTCTGTGCAGGTGTCAGCTGCGATGCATGTTTAAAAGGAAACTTTAGAGGCCGACGATACAAGTGTTTAATTTGCTACGATTACGATTTGTGTGCATCTTGCTATGAAAGTGGTGCAACGACGACAAGGCATACAACTGACCATCCAATGCAGTGCATATTGACAAGGGTAGACTTTGGTATGTATTTTATTTATTTTTTCTTCTATCGCAATAAAAAATACTGTCTTAATTGTACAGTACAGAACATCTTTTCCTTATCTATCGCTGGAAAGCAAGAGTGGGGAAGAGTGTTCAGATCCCAAACAGTCCAAGGACCATCTTTGCTGTCGGAGCAGTCAGATTGACCCTGCAGCACTGTATACCTGGAATTGGCCCTGCAGCACTGGAACTGAAGGGAATCCTAGTCTGGTTGTAGTCACAGTGCCATGTCGGTTGCCTAATTTCACCCATCAAGGGGGCACCTGGAGTTTGGCTGCCTTGGAGAAAGCAAACCAGATTATCTCTTGGACAGAAACTCGCTTCCCAACGATCTGCAGTCCACAGTATCTCAGCAGCCATTGCCTGAATCAAGGGTAATGGGCCCTTCATCCAAATTTCTGCAGTATAGTATGCCAAAAATGGGAGATTCCATATGTGGACATCCATGCTCTCAGATTCAGCAGCAAGCTACCTTGGTTTGTTACCAAAACCAGGAATCCTCTAGCCTCATATACCTTGACGATACAGTGCGTGAGAGAGAAAAAATAATGATGCTAAACTGGCTCAGAAAAACCTGGTACACAGACATAGTGGGGGGGGGGGGGGGGGCAATTCACAAAGCGGTATCTTACTGCATCTAAGTATGTGGTAAGATACCATACAAAATGTTTGTTGGCATTCACTAAAAAAAGCTACTAAAAAAAAAAAAAAGTTATTTTGTGAAGTCATGCGGTATTTTAGTGGTGAAAATATGCGGTAATGTAACAAGCTAACAGCAGAATGTAAAAAGAAAAACATTTGCCAGCAATTAACAATTAAGAAAAAAAAAAAATGCCTGTGGCCCCTCTGAAAATCCATACCAGACCCTTATCTGAGCATGCAGCCTGGCAGATCAGGAAAAGGGGGGCTTGAAAGAGATCAAGTGAGCGCCCCATCCAACCCCAGAAACTGTCAGGCAGCAGAGCTGTCTAACGGCAGAGCTCTCAGGAGCAGATCCTCTTTTTTTTTTTTTTTTTTTTTTTCCTTTCGTGCCAGAGGTAGCAGCAGATATCGTGATTATGGATGGATCTACACCTGGGGAACATTTTTTAAAATTTGTTTTTTGAATAAAGGACTTGTCCAAAACCACCTTTTTTTTTTTTTTTTTTTTTTTTTTTTTTATTTTTAGGATGTTTCACCCGGTGATCTAGACAGTAACATACCTTCTGTTCTTGGTCACTATCACATCTGCCAGACAATGTTTCTGATCTGGCATCCCATTTCCTGTAAAAGGGCTTTCTTCTTTTTCTTTTAATTTCTTGTATTTTTTTCTTTGTCGCATTAAATGAAAGCGCAAGTTTATAGAATAGGAAGTATACTTTTTATTTACAGTACAATTAATGTTTTAAGCTAAAAATAGGAAAAGACCTTTTCCCCCAATTTTACATCTTTTTATCTATAGATTACATAAGTATTTTTTAAGACAATATTGCCAAATAAAGCCTAGTTTGTCTCCAACACTGTTAATTTTGACTTCAAATTTCAATTTAGTTTTATTAATAGTCTTTTGACTAAAATGCCATTTTAGTTTAAGTCGTATTTTAGTCATCTGATTTGCTTTTTAGTTTGTTGTCTTTTAGTTGACTGAAAATCTGTATCATAAACAAACAAAAATATTGCTTTTTGACAAACAGAAGTGCAACTTTAAGAGTGGGATCACATATATGCAGTGCGGTATATCGCATGTGATTCGCGCAGGAACCGCATCACATTCCTGTGCAAATCACATGCAATTTGTGTGCAGTGCGAATGGAGGCATACATTTTGTATGGCTCTAATTGCACCGCACCCGCACAAAAAAAGTGCAGGACCCTTTTTTGGGCCGCACTAGTATCAGATCGCATGGGTATTCACACCTATGCGATCCGATTCTGCACATCGCACCGCGTTTTGCTGACCGCTTTCGGGATGTTGTCAACATACACACCTGCAGTGGTTCGCGTGAATGGGGTGCAATTCTGATGCGGAGCGGAATTCGCACAGAAAAGGCGACTTATTCAGCCCCGCATCAGCGTGAACCAGGGTTTAAAAAAAAAAAAATAAATAATATATATATATATATATATATATATATATATATATATATATATATATATATATATATATATATATATATATTATAAAAAAGTAAACTCCATTGGCTGTAATGCCATTGCACATATTACGTAAATATAAATACTTTAACGGTTCTCTGCTAATAATGAAAACGAGTATCAAGTAACATCTTTATAAATAAAACCAGGTTCCGCAAATTAACAAGAATATTGCTTTTTGACCACTAGTAATTTTGATGTCAAATTTTTCGATTTAGTCAGTCTTTTGACTAAAATGCCATTTTAGTATTTTAGTCATATTTTAGAAACTGAATTAATATTTTTGTTTAGTTTTTGTCATTAAAACAGTAGTAATCCACAGTTTGAGAAAAAGAAAAGTCCCCTGGAAGGTGAAGTCCTTATGTGCTAGTATGCATCGCATTCTATCACATTATACAGGACTTACCTTAAAGCGCGAAGCCCTTCAGCAGTGCGGTGTCCTTGCTGCAGAGACTTCCATCTTCACCGGGTCTTCCTTCCTGGTTCGCACGGGAGTCTCAGTATGCGGCACAGTATGCCATTCCTTCAGAGCGCATGCTCCTGCTGACAGAGCGAATCTAACCGGTGCACTTTTATGACATATTCATTTTACTTACAGGTAAGCTTTATTGTAAGCTTACATGTAGGTAAGATGCAAAAATGGGTTTACCTCCACTTTAAAAACATGCAGTGGGGTATAAAGGTACAAGAGCTGAAGTGATTAAAGTGGAATCCCAGGCATAGTGCTAAGTGTGTGTGTTTTGAACTGTTTTACCTGACAGAGGAATTCTAATTCTGTTTTATTTAGTCTTGTGATTCGCATATCTCTGCTGCACAGTATAGCCTGTCAATTGAAACATTTATATCCGGGTTAAGCTTCCATAGTCTGTTATCTCTTCCACCTCCAGCCTGATTATTATCAGTATAATCATCTATGTACTTTGAGCATACTGAAAAAGCAGTAACTCTGAACCAGAATAATCTTCCTGGCTTTGCACTATGGTAGCGGTCTATGAATCATAGAAGCAGCTAAACAAAGTTATAAATACTGTGTGAGATAAAGACAGAAACGTATACATTTTTTAATTGTGTATTTTGTTTCCAAACAGATTTATATTATGGTGGGGAAGCCTTCTCTGTAGAGCAGCCACAGTCTTTTACTTGTCCTTATTGCGGTAAAATGGGTTATACAGAGACCTCGCTACAAGAGCATGTGACTTCAGAGCATGCAGAAACATCAACAGAAGTGGTAAGTACATTTTGGCAGTAAATCTAACTGTTAATTTGCCAGAAAAATGTTGTTAGGTTTTATTTTAAATTGTTTCCTCTTGTCTAACAACCAAATGACAAAGTCAGTATTCTAATACCTCTGTTTTATTCCATATGGGGGCCCCAGAAAACGTCTAGCCAGTATTAAAAAAACAAAAAAAAAAATATATGTATATGTGTGTAAATAAACCTACATTGTCTCAACTGTTCCAGTTAAAATATTGAGGTGCTTGCTGCTGTCCTATAGCTCTTGGATCAAGGGGTCATTACCCCTATTCCAACAGGAAATGCTTCCTACTCTAATCTCTTTACTGTTCCTGGGCCATATGGGGGAGATTGACCCGTTTTGGATCTGAAAACTTTTTTCTTGTGGGTTCAGAAGTTTTGCATGGAAAATGCCAGATCGATCATTGTCTCATTTCTTCTGGGAGGTCTGCACATTTTCATGTTTCTTACCTGCGTTTTGCGGTGGGTGACCAGCATGATTAATTTGCCAATTTTCCCTTTGGCCTCTCCACTACCCCTCCAGTATTCTCCAAGGTGTTTGCCCTGGTTTTGACTCTGCTTTGTTCCCAGGGTTTTGTGTTGTGGGGTACCTAGATGATATCCTTTTTGAAGGACAAGTCTTCCCTGCTTTTATCAACCAACATCCAGCAAACCGTACAGGCTCTTCAGAGCTTTAGTAAGATCCTCAGCCTCCAGAGGTAATTTCTGGACCCACCTCACAAGTTTGAGTTCCTGGGCTTATGCTGAAAACAACCTTGTCCAGAACCTTTCTGCTGCAGGACAGACGTCTGTACCTTCAGTCTTATGCTAGTGTCCTTTGAGCACACGGGAAGCTCTTGACTCAAGCTTACATGAGGGTTTGGGTCCCATGGTGGCCTTCTTTTGAAGCAATGCCATATGTCTAGTTTCACACCAGACCATTGGAACTCCGCATTCTGGCTGCGTGGGACAGACAGACTCAGTACTTGGACAGCTCCTTGTGTCTGAACTCAAAAGCCAGACTCTCCCAGATATGGTGCATTTCTACCCCTGTGCTGGAGCTGGGAAACCATTTTCTGTCACTGTAGTGAGCAGATTTCATGGTGAATGCTATCCTGCTGGGTAGTAGTTCTGCACCCCCTAGGTATTTGGACATTGGAGGAAGCTTCCAATCAGCCCTCTAGAGCTCAGGGCATTTAAATTTTTTTCTGTTCAGTGTTGGACTCCATATTGCAAAGATACCTAATGAGAATCTAATCGAACAATCACATGGCTGTGGCTTACATCACTGATCAAGGAGGCACCAGATGTCGTGCCTCTCTAGGGCAGAACGTCAGGTTCCAACCCTTTCTGCTGCCTTCATTCCAGGCGTGGGAAATTGGCAGGCAGATTTTCTCAGTAATCCGTGTCTGTATCCTGGGGAATGGTCTCTGCATCTGGAGGTCTTTTGCCACAGGTGGCATTCAGATTCAAGAACAAACTGGACAGGATTGTCAGCAGATCCAGGAGCCCTCCGACCTTCCCAGTACATGCTTTGCTGAAGCCATGGGATTACTTCAACCTGATATGCACCTTATGCCCCTCCAGATTCACCCTTGTCTGCTTTGCAGGACTGGGAGAGGATATCCTAGGTATCCTCACTGCGCTGACTTGGCCCAGGAGAAGGTGGTATTCAGTTATACTCAAGCTCCTGGCAGATGCTTCATGTGCCTTTCTGCATTTTCTGGACTCCCTGTCCCAGGGACCAATGTTCCATCCTGCTTCTTGTTCACTGACTTTAACATCATTCTTAATGAAGCCCCATCCTCTTTCTCTTTCTGTTGTTCTGGCCTCAATTCCTATTTTTGTTATACTCTGAAAATCTTGGTGCTTGGTATTTTCTTCCAGTCACCCCTGTTGGTGAAACTACTGCTATTTTTCATTCACAGACCTCCCTTCTCTGTTCAAGAGTGAAATTTTTGCTTTATTTATATTTGATGTATCGGTTGTTAATTTACAGATTGTAACATGTTTGCAACTGTTATGGTCTCTGATATTGTGAAATTCTATGCATATAATTGTATAAAAAGTATATTTTTTTTAAAGTAAAAAAGTTAACCTAATAAATCTTGCCATTGTACCTAGAAGGCCTACTTTGCCTGGTGCGAGGAAAGGATCTTTCATCCTAGAAAGTACTCCTTGCGATGTATATTGTCCGTCCTTCCAATCTAGTATGGACCACCACTTGACCTTGTGGACCATTACAGGACAAATCTTGGACTTAGTAATTCTATTTCAGAGGCCTTTTCCCCCTCACTCTTTAGTTAGACCTTTTGTTGAGGGAGTAGCTCATATCACTCCACTTGTTTGTTCTCCTGTATCCCCTTGGGTTATGGCTCTTCAGAAGCCACCCTTTAAACTCATCAGGGATATTCCCCTGTCTGACCTCTCCCGTAAGGTGACCTTTCTGGTGGCTGTCACCTTTGGGGAGAAGTTAGTAGACTTACCTTTTAACAAACTTGTATTGTTTTGGACAAGGTTGTCTTGAAGCCTTCCTTATGTCAATCTCCAAAACAACATCTTAGGGAAAATAATCTTCATTGTATGGACGTGGGGCATGCTGTGAGAGTCTACCTCTCAGCACTGTCCATTTTAGGAAATTGGATATTCTTTGTGATTCCTAAAGGTTCTGGAAAGGGATTTCCTGCATTTTGGTGCATCATTGATAGGTGGATCAGATGAATTATCTTTAAAGCTGATAGTCTTGAAGGAATGGTTCCTCCTTTCCATGTTAGAGCACATTACCAAATCTGTTAGTGCCAAAGGGGTTTTTTCAGCCTCCGGATGTCGCTGCAGCCACCTTCTTCTTCTTCTTTTTTTTTTTTTTTTTTTTTTTTTTTTTTCTTTAATAACCTCAATATGCCGTTTTTTTTCCTCTTATTTAATCCACTCACAGAATACCAGAAGGTAGATATAGATTTTGTGACTGGAGTGACTTTTGGGGGGTGGGGGGCCCCTGTATCAGCTCCTCATCTTCCTCTTATGTGTAGGCACCCTGTGCCTGTTAGGGGTGCAGAGTGATCTGTCCTAATATTGTCTGTCTTGGTTTGGTGGGATTTGGGGGTTGTTCATTGTTTAATGCCATGTGGTTGTCCCATTGTTCTATTGTGTGTCTGGCTTGGGAGCAAACTATTATGGGTTGTATGTATTTGTGTATTGGCTTGGTAGGGAGTGTCTGCTGATGTCTCTGGTTGCTAGATTTGGTTTGCCACGCCCTGTGTCCATATGCAGGGAGGTGGGTATATATCTTGTGTCTGTGTTAAAATTAAAGCAGTTCACTTCCTGTCTTAAGAAGAAGCCTGGTGCTGTCTTATTTCCTGCATGATCAGTGGTGGTGTCCGGGGATCTGTGTTCGGACAGGGAAGCTGGAGTCTAACGGAAATACCCAAGTGCAGTCTGGGTCCGGTTCAGCTACAGATTTTATCTATCTATATGTCTTCTTTTTTTTTTTCCTCCGAGAATAGGTGCAGGAACTCGCCCTTTCTGAGTCACCCCTTGTCTCCACCGCTTACCCACCTACAGGCACCATCCTTTTGTTCCACTGCCTGCCTACCTACCAGTACCACCCCATTTTAGTGAATACAGCACTAATTTTTATTTTGTGGCAATTTTCTTGGAATTTACTAAAGAGAGCAAAAAAAAGCAGTAAAAGATACCCTGCTGCCAGCAGCAAAAGAACACCCAGCAAAAATAGATCTCTCAGCATTCCGCATCAAAAAGACCCCTCTCTCAATAGTAGATCCCTCCCAGCAACAACAGACACTTCCCTCATCAAGAGAACCCCCCCAGCAACAATAGATCCCCCAGCAGCCAGTATCAACAGACTCTCCAGCACTCCTTGTCATTGCATACATTCAGTGCTGGAGGTGCGTTCCCGCTGAAAAAAAGCCGTGTGTGTACACACTCGTCAGCATTATACTCTGTAAATATGTTTCTAAAGGCTCTATTGACATGAAATTTTAACCACCTGTCGTTAACAACCCATGCAATCCATGCATACAAATAAACCAAAACAAAACCGTTCAGAAATGAAGCTGTGTCTAATAAAATGGAGTGACACAGGGAAAAAGTGATGAATATGCTAGCTGAAATTTATTTAATACTTTGTACAAAATCCTTTTATTGGTAATCACAGCTTTAGGATGCCTCATGTATGGAGAAACTTGTCGCATGTATTGCTCAGGTGTGATTCTGGCCCATTCTTCCACACAGTCTTCAAATCTAGAAGGTTCTGTTTGCCTCTTCTGTGAACTCTGATCTTTAGTTCTTTCCATAGATTTTCTATTCTATTTAAGTCATGTGATTGGCTGGGTAATTCTAGCAGCTTTATTTTCTTTCTTTGAAACCAATTGAGAGTTTCTTCTTTGTGTTTGGGATCATTGTCTTGCTGAAATGTCCACCCTCATTTCATCTTCATCATCCTTGTAGATGGCAGCAGATTTCTATCAAGAATGTCTTGGTATGTATTTCCATTCATCCTTCCTTCAGCGTTATTAAGTTTGCCTGTACTGTATTCTGAAAAACAGCCACACACCATGATGTTCCCACCACCAAACGTCACTGTTGGTATGGTGTTTTTGGGGTGATGTGCATTGCCATTTGACCTCCAAACATGGTGTGTATTATGGCATCTAAAGAGTTCATTTTTGGTCTCATCTGACCAGACTATGTTCTCCCAGTACTTCTCAGGCTTATCTAAATGTTGTGCAGCAAACTTTAAATGAGCTTCAACATGCTTTTTCTTCAGCGATGGAGTGAAACAATGAAACCATTGTACCTGCTAATTCCAGGTCTTTCTGAAGCTCTCCACAAGTGGTCCTTTGGCTCTTGTACAACTCGTCTAATTCTTTTCACTCCTCTTACAGAAATCTTGAGAGGATCACCTGGTTCACTGGAACATTCAGAAGTTTAGAAATCCTTCTGTAACCAATGCCATTAGTATGTTTTGCAACAACAAGGTTACAAAGGTCTTGGGAGAACTCTTTGCTTTTACCCATCATGAGATGTTGCTTGTGTGACAGCTTAATGAGACATCTTTTTTGAGGCCATCAATTGAGAATGAACCAGCTGATATTAATTTGCACTGACAAGGGTCAGGATTACTTTCTAATTACTGATAGATTTTAGCTGGTGCCTTGGCTTTCCATGCCTTTTTTGCACCTACTTTTGTTCATGCGTTCAATACTTTTTTTCCCTGTGTCATTCCATTTTATTGCACTTAACCTAATTTCTGAACTTTGTTTTGGTTTCTTTGTATGTGTGGTTTGCATGGGTTGTTACTGACATTTCATGTCAGTAGCACCATTTAGACATCTATTACTTGAGAAAATGGTGAATAATACTTATTTAGCCGCTGTATATAACACACACACACACACAAAAATTTTTATTCAAAGAAAAATAAAAAGGCCTAAAACTGTGTTTTGCAGATATGATAATGAGCATGGCAGAGTCCATTGTTGAAAATGGGTAGCTTAATACAAGCTACCTGTGCCTGCTGTCACTAAGACATTTGGTAACAGCAGCATGCTAAAGTGATACAAAGAACATCCCTGATCCTCCTCTGCTCAGGTCCCAGTAAGTGTACATTGGTTGGTTTGCATGAAAGTTATAGCGCCTACCAACTATGGTGTGCGTATATTTACTGGATATGTAAAAGTGTAGCGCCAATCATAAAATAGGGAAACTAAAGCTATATCAAAGCAGATACAAATAATAATATAATAAACGTCCGTGATATCAAAAAATCATCGAGAAAAATTTGTGAGAAAAATATAAATATTGTCCATCCACCACCATAAAGTGCTCTTGCTTACAGCAAAGTAATTCACAAATTCCGTCACTGTCTCCCAGTGAACTGAAAACTCACCGGAAATGATGGCTGCCACTACAACAGCATAAATGCTCGTGTATTTAAACAAGGATTCCAAAGGTGCATGCATTTGACATATGACTGTGTTGACAGAGGTCATTATATCTAGCTGAGCTGCAGTGAAATAACTTGCCAGGAGCAAATAGGCTTCCAATAGTGTAGTATTTATTAAAAATCCGATAAAATTCATAAGTATGGCAAAGAAATATCCGCTTACATAAATAGCTGGTGCCGACTCGGAATTGCGCAGCGGCATGACATCAGCACTGTACACTCCTCCCTGGTTAAGCAGCAGTGTTAGTTCAAAACTACAGCTCACTTACCAACACAAATACGACGTGAATGTATATTATAGTTAAATAGTTCATATAGTTAACACAAAATTATTGTATATACAGCTCTCAAATTCTGGCTTAATTCTGCAATGCTGCTTGACTGGCTGTATCTGACTCAAACCCTCTGATTAAAATCAGACCAAGCATGTCACAAAAGTCAAAAATCCATATCTATACTTCATCAGTGGCTAAAAATATTAAAGCCAAGTTGTATTTTGGGGCTTATGAGATGCCCATAAAAATAATGAATAACCTCTGCAGTCTTGCATTTTTATGTGCTGTTCTATTGTCTTTTAATTTTTTTTTTTTAATAAGAACAGGTTTACTAGATGCTGTAAGTAAAAGTACAGTCTTTTTTTTATATTGCCTAGAATTTTTGGTGCTTTTTTTGTGAATGCATTTTATTTTTGTATGTCTTCATTTGACGGACTTGTATAGTTATTTGATATGCTTGTTTCTCTGCAGATTTGTCCAATTTGTGCAGCATTACCAGGGGGAGATCCAAATCACGTTACAGATGATTTTGCTGCCCATCTTACACTTGAACACAGAGCTCCCAGGGATCTAATATCCTTTTTTTCATTTGTTTTTTAAGTGTTGTGCTTGTTGATCTCTTTTCTGACGTGTTTATGCTTCAAGAGGGCCAATAACCATAATCCCTGGTTCACACCAGTGGGACTTGTCATGCAACTTAAGAGTTCAAAGTCGCGTGACAAGCCACATCCCATTAGCAGCAATGCAAACTTTCAAATCGGTGTGACTCTTGTTGCAGTGACCTTTAAATCAGTTCCTGCACTATTTTTGTGAGACTTCATTGCACCTTGCATTGATATCTGTTAAATGAAGTCATACAGTGTCAGCAAGCCACAATGAAGTTGCACTGAGTAGTCAGTCAGCTTTGAAGTTGCACAAAGTAGCGCAAGTTCAAAGCTGCACTGCTGTGAACCAGGGCTTAGGCTATATGTGCAGAAAAACGCAGTTATTTACCTGTTAACTGTATTTCCAGGAATCTTCTAGGACAGCTCACTTGAGAGATAGGGCTCCTCCCAGGAAACACCCGCTCCACCTTTTTTTCCCCTTTATAGGCATCCTCTCTCCCATTGGCCCCCAGTATAAGAATATGACCGAAGGCCTAGGAGAAAAACAAAGAAGAAAACCAGTAATAAAGATATCCCCCATAGGTTCGCAACATACCTGCACATAATTGTGTGATCAAACAGTAATCGGGGGGGAGTTACGCTGTCCTAGAAGATTCCTGGAAATACAGTTAACAGGTAAATAACTGCGTTTTCCCGAGTCATCTTCTAGGACAGCTCACTTGAGAGGAGTAGAATAGAAATACGTACATTAGGGCGGGCACCCTGCTTGTAGGACCTTCCTGCCAAATGCCTGGTCCTTGCTGCCGATCAGATCCAGCCTGTAATGCTTAGTGAAGGTGGCGAAACTGGACCACGTCGCGGCTCTGCAGATCTGTCCGGGGGAGGCCCCCCCTTTTTCCGCCCAGGAGGCCGCAGTGGCCCTTGTGGAGTGGGCTTTTAGGCCGGGCGGTGGTGACAGGCCTGCCGACTTGTAACCTTCCGAAACTGCCTCCCTGATCCATCTGGCGATGGTGCCCTTGGAGGCACCGTCCCCCTTCCTTGGTCCCTGGAATAGGACGAAAAGCCGGGACGAGTGTCTCCATGTCTTTGTGCGTTCGATGTACGTGATCAAACACCGTCTTACGTCTAACCTGCTACAGTCCTCCGCGCTGCCCGGATCGGCCTCCAGGGAAGGTATTACTATTTCCTGAGATCTATGGAAGTGTGACGCGACCTTAGGTAGGAAGGCCGCGTCCGTGCGGAGGATGATTCTATCCAATAAGATGGTGCAGTACGGCTCGATCACTGAAAGGGCATGCAACTCGCTGACCCTGCGGGCAGAAACTAGTGCCGTGAGGAGGATGGTTTTAAGAGTCAAAGATCTGAGCGAACATTCATCCAGCGGTTCGAAAGGCCCCCGCTGAAAGCTCTTCAGGACTGTGCCCAGGTCCCATGTTGGAAGTTTTGGCAAGGACGGGGCACGGCGCCTGGAGATAGCCCTCAGGAATCTGATTACTAATGGGTCTGCCACCCAACCTCAGCTCGAGAAAGTTCGACAGAGCCGCTACCTGTACTTTGAGGGTATTGGCGGCCAGACTCTTATCCGCCCCGGCTTGAAGGAATTCAAGAACTGTATGCAAAATGGGCGTGCCCGGTGCTTCGTTTCTGACCTTCCAGGCGGAAAACTTCTTCCAGACCTTGTCGTACAAGGCGTTCGTCGACCTCTTCCGGCCATCCAAAAGGGTGGCGACCACTCTTGCCGAGAGCCCCTTTTCCGCTAGCCTGTCCCGCTCAGAAGCCACGCCGCTAAGGACAGCCTTTCTGGATGAGGATGCATCACCCTCCCTTGGTTGAGTAAATCGCGTGTGGGTGGTATCATCCAAGGGTCTGCTAAACTGAGCTCCTTCAACCGGGAGAACCAAGATCAGGCGCGATCAGAATAACTTTGGCTTGAGACACCCGGATCTTCTGAATCACCTTCGGCAGTAGTCTGAATGGAGGGAAGGCATAAAGGAGGTCTCCTTCCCACTGCTGGGCTAGCGCATCTATCCCCTCGCTTTTGGGGTCCTTCTGCAGGCAGAAGTACCTTTCCCGCTTTGTGTTCTGGCCGTTGGCAAATAGATCGATTAGAGGGGGAGCCCCACCTGGCGCAAATCTGATCGAACGCTGACTGGCTGAGGCACCATTCTGTCTGGATGACCTCTCTTCGGCTCAGTTGATCCGCCAACTGGTTCAGGTCCCCTTTCAGATGTACTGCCGTGATGAACTCCAGGTTTTCCTCCGCCCAGCTCAGGAGGGATCCGGCCAACTCCATCAGCCTTGGGGACCTTGTGCCTCCCTGCCTGTTCAAATACGCCACTGCAGTGGTATTGTCGGAGAGAATCTGGACACCTCTCCCCCTTATCTTTTCCTGAAAGGTCGTAAGTGCCTTGAAAACTGCCAACAGCTCCCTGTAATTTGACGACCTGCTGGAGTCTACTGCACTCCACGTGCCCTGGGCCAGGCCGTCTTCCATATGGGCGCCCCAACCAGTCATGCTTGCATCCGTGGTGATCCGCAGTGGGTTGGCCAGCCTCCAACTTCTTCCTCGTTCCAAGGTGAGGCTGCTTCCCCACCACCTTAGCGATTCCTTCACTTCGTGCGTGATGCGGATCCTGGAACTCAGACCTGCTCGGCTGCCGTCCCAGTGGGAAAGGGTGTGATTTTGCAGCACCCTGGAGTGAAGTTGCGCCCATTGCACCCCTGGTATTGCCGCTGTCATCCGCCCGATTATTCTCATCGCGGTCCTGACCGTGCAGGTCGACATCCTCCGGAGGGCCCTTGTGTCCTGCCGCAGGTTGAGGGCTTTTTCTGATGTTAGGTACGATCGGGCCTGTGCGGAGTCCAGGACGTACCCCAAGTACGTAATCCTCTTGGAGGGGGTTAGCTGTGACTTCTCCTTGTTGATAAGCCACCCCAAACTTTCCAGAAAAGATATCGTACGTTCGATGTGCGATCTGAGGCCTCCCTCTGTGTCCGCAAATAAAAGCAGGTCGTCCAAATAGGGGATAATGTTTATCCCTTCCAGTCTCAAAACTCTTAAAGGCTCCGCTAAAATCTTGGTGAATATCCTCGGGGCCGACGACAGGCCGAAGGGGAGTGTGTTTGAACTGAAATAGCACCGGGCCCTTTTCTCCTTCCAGCGCAAACCTCAGGAATCTCCTGGAATCTTCTCTTATCGGGACATGTAGGTATGCGTCTTGCAGATCTATCGAGGCCATGAACACCCCAGGTGAAAGGAGAGTTCCTTCACCGTGTATATGGATTCCATACGGAATTTGCTGGGCCTCACGAACTCGTTCACCTTCCGCAGATTCAATATCATCCTGTAAGTACCTGACGGTTTTTTCCTTAGAAAGAAATGGGAGAAGAATCCACTTCCCCTTTCCTCTTCTCTCAACTGGCAGATAACGTTCTGACTGAGCATATTTTGTAGGAGGTCCACCAGCGCATCCGCCATAGCCCTGTCCTTTGGCAGGGGTGTTGCAAAGAATCTCTGAGGGGGGGCCCTTGTGAACTCTATTCTGTACCCCCTGTGGATGGCCTCCAGAATGTAGGTGTTCTGGGTTATCGTTAGCCATTGTGCGTGGAAGCGCCCCAGTCTCGCTCCCACCTGGCCTCTCCAGTCACTTCGGCTGGGTTTTGGGTCAATTCTGGCCGGGGTTGAAAAGGAAACCTCCCCTGCCTCTCGGCTCGTTCCTGCCTCTTCTTGCGCCCCAGCCTGGGCGCTGGGTTTGGAACCTAGCTTCCCTTGACGCGTATCGCCTGGATGGGCGAAACCCCTTCCGTCCAACCTGCCTGCTGGGGACCGGGAAGCTCTTTTTCCTGTCGGCCGACCTTTCCAGGACTGAATTCAGCTCCGGGCCGAAAAGGAGTTTACCTTCAAACGGCAGGCCACAGAGTTTAGATTTGGAGGCCAGATCCCCCTGCCACGATTTCAGCCAGATAGCCCTCCTTGCCGTGTTTATGAGCGCTGTAGATCTAGCAGAGAGTCTGATGGTCTCTGCTGATGCGTCCGCGATGAAGGCTACCGCTTTCTCCAGCACCGGAAGGGACTTCAGAATCTCTTCCCCCGGAGTGCCTTGTTCCAGATGCGAACGGAGCTGCCCCAACCACACATCCAGGGTTCTGGACACACAGGTCGTTGCCACTGCAGGTTTAAAATTCACTGCGGACGCTTCCCATGCCCTCTTCAGGAAGGCGTCCGCTTTCCGATCCATCGGGTCTTTTAGGGACCCACCGTCTTCAAAGGACAGATCCGTGTCCTTCGAGATCCTCGAGAGAGGCGTCTGGGTTTGGGCAAGTCTCCCAAACCGAGGCATCTTCCTCCTCCTTAAAGGGGAAACGTCTCTTGAGGTTCTTGGGAAGGAAAGCCTTCTTCTCTGGCTCTTCCCATTCTCTCCTGCTCGTGGACCATAGGGCAGGGTGTACTGGGAATGTACGGCCAAACAAAGGCCCTTACCTTACTGCAGGCCTCCCCCGCTCCTGACAGATCTGCCTCCATGCCGCCGCAGACTCTGCCTCGGTGCGACGGTTTTTTCAGGGGCTGGTGGGCTCCGCCCCCCCCCCCCCCTGCGATCCCCCCCCTCGCCGACCCCCCTCTCACGGCCGCCGGTGGAGAAGCGGCCGTGGCACGGGTTCCTTCCACGGCCCGCCGCCCATTTCCAAGATGGCGGCGGCCGTTCCCTGCTCCTGCGCCGGAAGTGACGACACCCGGCGCCCGGAAGTGATGCGATCGCAGCGTCCAGACCCACCGCAGCCAAGCCTCCTGGCCATGCTGCCGGGATCCAGGAGCAGGTAAGACTTACCTGAAACCCCCAGGGAAAGGCACCAATGCCTCGGTCGGCGGAGCGGGCCCTACCCCCCTGGAGAGCCCCGCTGGGACCATCTGGGGCCGACGCCCCCACCCCACAACGGGCATCCCTAGTGAAACTGGCTGAAAGGTCCCCCCCCTCACAAGGCCCCTGCCTTGCTTGGAGGAAGGGGGGGGACCCCAGCCAGGGACCCTCTGTACTCCGCCAGAGAGCCCAGATAAAAAATAAAAAACGAGCGTAGCTCCTTCCTGGCCGGAGGAAACACTAAAACTGGGGGCCAGTGGGAGAGAGGACGCCTATAAAGGGGAAAAAAAGGTGGAGCGGGTGTTTCCTGGGAGGAGCCCTATCTCTCAAGTGAGCTGTCCTAGAAGATGACTCGGGAAAACAAAATAAAACATCCATATACTGCTTTTTTTGTTTTTTGTTTTTTTTTGTTTATTAAATATGGGTTCATCTTTTGTTTTCATTATTTGTTGCTTATAAGCACTGCTGATCTCTTGCAGCCCCATTTCAGACATTTCCAGCTTACATCCCACCAAACATGGTGCATATTCTCTCTCAGAATGAGTTTTCTGATGGTGACTATGGGTACCATCAAGGCCACCTTTAGTCTCCATTGGAAATGTGTGCGACAGGGTGACAAAACAGGAGAACAATTGAGAGACAGGGACAAGTGTGTTACCCTATAACTGGGAGTGCCTGAACAAAGACCTTTACGACAGGATTATCAGGTATTTGAATAAAAGAAAAATACATTTAAAGTGGAACTTTCGTCTGAAGTCCTGCTAGATCACTTCAGCCTGGCCCTTTTCGCAGGTATAGCTATATAAAAACATTTAAAAATAAGTGCCTATGCTGTTTAAAATCCAGTAATGCACTGTCTCATCTTGCTCTGCACATGCTCAGTTGCTCTTTATTTTTTGTTTTTATTTTTTGGCAGTGTGCTGAAAATGTAGAGGCTGATCTGCTGATAGCCTAAAGATTTAATGCTCCTCATGGCTTTGACCTCCAGCAAGAAGAAACCGAAACAATGCTGGAGGCAATTTACAACACGCACTAATTTTAGTAGTAGAATTATTATTGCGGAATGTAAGTAATATTTATTTATGAAGCTGTTATGAGTAAATTTCCACTTTAAGCGGACCTCCAGGCAGATATAAAACATAAATTATTGTAGCACTGTATGTATTAATACATTTTTTTTATTTATATATTTTTTTTTTAAAGCAGTTTGACCGCATTTAATTTGGTATGGGCCTCTTTCAATCTGCCGTTCTAAGCTCAGACTGAGGGAGGGAATAGCAGCACAAGGAGCTAGTCCAGGACTTCGTACATTTACTATGGCAGCCCATTCTTCCTTCCACTTGATGTGGATGGGGGAATACTCCTCGCCAGACTTGTTTTCTAACCTGTCATCAGAATACACTGACTGCTGACAAAACTGAGGGAATGCTGGAAGTGGGAGGAGTAATGCTGAGTTGTGGCAAGCTGTAGTTGCCAGTGTCCAATCACTGAATCTGGAGCATAACCCAATAGTCCAAGATATAACCCTCCTGTGTACTGTGATGTATGTTAAGGGATTTTACAGGTAATTAAAAGAAAAAAAAACAAAAAAAAAGTTTTTTTGTACTTCCTGTAATTTCCTTCTCATGGAATTCCTTGAGGTATACAGGTCTCACCCCTCTGTGTTTATGATCTTGTTCTCTGTACTGCTTTGCTAAAAAACTGAGTCATGCTGGAAGTAAGAGGGGTTATCCTGGCCTGTCCCTTATATGTGCGTGCTGTACCATGTACTTGTATGAAAACGTATCCTGTTCTCTTTGTATTGCTTTCTATGTGTGAAATCCCTGGTGTTCCTGCCAGTCCATCCTCTTTCCTATTAAAAACTGACCACACTAAGGAGGAGAGCAATGATCAGGCTTGTTCTGATATGGCCTCCCCCTCCCTCCCCCACAGCCTTTTGTTGGGAAGTTTGGTGTGCTGTTGTTTTCCTCCCCTAGCTCTTATGCAGCTGAGATCAGAGGGAATGTGAGCCCTTCTAAAAACCAAAAAAAAGGGGGGGGGGGGGAGGGTGAAGTTTATTTATAAAGGTATTTTTTTTTTTTATATGTAAACAAAAATGATTTGCCTTTCATTTCTATTTTAAACTGAATGGGTTGTTTTACACTTGTAAAAGCATATAACATTTTTACAAGCGTCAACCGCTTGGGTGTTAATTCATTTAATTGTCCAGAATAATAATTAATTCTGGCCATTGAAAAGAATTAATGCTCACGCCCTAAATGCGCCTAGCGTTAACACTCGTTTACATGCGTCAAACGTCTTTTATTCCGCCAAAAAAATGCTGCTCCTGGACACAGACCTTGGGGTTTTTTTTTCCTGCCTTTAAACACACTCCTGCCACTAAAAGCTCCTAAAAGTCTGTGTTAATATGGAGGGCAGTTTACAAGCGGTAAAAAAAAAAAAAAAAACCACACTTGGTGCACTAAAGTGGCTGCAGAACCACCCTGTGTGCATGAGGCCTTATAAGCACTTTAACCCTCACATCAACAAAAAGTGCTTTCTTGAACAGACGATCCCTGTTTAGCATTGAGCAAACATTTTTGGATGTACCAAAGTTGTTGTTTTCCTTAAGTATTTCCTATGATGAATCCAGTGGAGTCCGGCACGTACGAAGGATGTTTCACCCTGGCCGAGGGTTAGGAGGGCCAAGAGCTCGCAGATCAAACATGCACTTTACTAGCAGTTCCACTGGAGGGCTTTCATCCTCACAGAGCTCGTATTCACCAAGCAATAGGGAAGCCATGGATCCTATAGCAGGTAAGTCATCGGCCTTTGCAGAGTTTGCTATCCAAACTTTAAACTTCAGGGTTTTAATAAATGTATTCAGACTAGACATTTGTAGCAATTGCACAACTATTCATTTATTATGTTTGATTTCTTGCTTGTATTTTTGCCTGCTACACACATTAAAGAAGAATTTTTGGAATGACATTAGAGCCTGCGAATGCACTAGCACTCCAATTAGATGCAAGACCTTTAGCGTGGGTTCCCACGATTAGCTGCGGGAGGCAGCCCCATTGAAAGCAATGGAAGGCTGCCAGCTCCTGCAGATATTCGGTCACATTCTTGTAATCGCTCATGCGGTGATCACATGCAAATGATCGGCCCTGGACACAATCTGCATCCAGAGCCAATTGCTGCATGACTGATTGACAGTGGGAGCTGGCAACCTCCCAGGGTACCCTGATTCTGTTTAAGCAGCTAGTGCAGAAGATAATAGGTGACTTGCACCTTAGTGCAGTGTTTGATCACCTAAGCAGGAACTGACATCTGGGGGCGGTCTGTAAACCAGCTGTGAACAGAACACTTCCACGGTTCTATATTGCGTTGAATTGTACAGAAAATTACAGTGCTCAAAGTTAAGCAAAGGTCATTTTTTAATAATAAAGCCCCTTTAAATTGTAATGTGGCAATTATGTATGTAGCAATTGTATATGCAATATTCATTTTTCTTTCCATGAAAGTGAAGCAACCCTTTAAAAGAGCAACCACGAAACACTAATTACAAGCCTAATGGCAACCCTGTGAAGGTGAAACCTACATTATTCCTGTAACAATGGATCTATAGGGTTTATATACTGCAAAAGGTTAAAAGTGTCTGACATTGAGGGCAAACACTGCACCATGATAGCACTTGCCTCCCAGTAAATTGGCTACAGAATAAAACTTACAATATAATCCCTCCGTGTTCTCTTGTGGGTCACTCATTCAGTATTCTGGTAATGCACCACCATAGTCACATGATTATGACAATATTGAGGATCTTTTAGCCCAGGGGTCTCCAAACTATGGCCCTCCAGCTGTTCATGTACTACAAGTCATCGTGCCTCTGGCTCTGGGAGTCTTTCCTGTGGCTGTCAGTCTTGCAAGGCCTCATGGGACTTGCAGTTTCATCAACACCTGGAAGGCCATAGTTTGGAGACCTCTGATTTAGCCCATCTAGCATTAACTATGGTGGCACTAGAAGTGTCAGAATTGCCTCCCTTTACTTCAGAATCACTGAGGTTGAACTGTAGTGCTTATATCATGAATGCTGCCTCTGGATCGTTCTTTTAAAAAGATGACCTGCTATAGATAGACAAAATATGGAGCTGACTTCTATTTTCAGTTTATGCATCGAAGGTGAGTGCTTTATCTTGTGTCTTTATAAATGACTTCTTTTGCAATCTCTCGCAATTTCTCCAACAGAAATAGTGCAAAATAGCAAACAGATCAACTTATACATGTATTGTTTTAGTTTTTTTGTTTTTTTTTGTTTTTTTTAATGTGTTTTTAAACAAAGGTGTCTCACGGTTTTCAATTCTTTCTTCTTTACAGAATTATTATCCCAATTATCTGGCGTTAGGCGTTCAACGGGTGGTCAGCTCAACTCCTCGGGGCCTTCTGCCTCTCAGTTGCAACAACTACAAATGCAGTTACAATTAGAGCGGCAACAGGCACAGGCAGCACGGCAACAACTAGAAACGGCACGTAACGCAACTAGACGCAACAATGCAAGTAGTGTCACTACCACCATTACCCAATCAGCAGCAGCAACCAACACATCCAATACGGACAACAATCAGCAAACTATACAAAATTCACAGTTTCTCCTCACAAGGTATGCATGTATTGCAAATTTTGGCTATGATTTTTAAGTCCAACCTTACTCTGACTAGTGAGTCACTAAGCATTCCTTCCCCAGACATGCCTACTGTTTTCTTTTAAGATGCGTTGTAAGCAACATCTAGAACATCTTCAGTGATCTTAGTGTCTCTTGGTAACATTAGTCTAGGCTTCTTTTCAAAGAGCTGGGTTGTCCATTTGCTTTATGAGCTCATTCTTGAATTCCAAGTTGACAGATGAAGCCTAATGCATAACAACTAATGGGAAATAATCCATAAGCGGCTGAATTGCCCCCTCACCTCCTTGAAGCGACCCAAAAGGGCCAAAACGCTTGTAGAAACACAAGAAATGACAATTGTTTGCTATACATATCCACTTTATCACCTGCACTTTCTAAAGTCGTTGGAATATTTGGTGTTCACGCACCTTTGAACTTTCCTTTTTGGGCTTATTGCATAATATTTAAAATCAACTGGTGTTGATTGTTCATTTAATTTTGGTATATATTTCCTTGGTGTTCATCACAGCACTTGTCACTATTGTCGAATCTGATCCCCTATTTAGGGATTCACATTTTGTCACTTGTTTCTTCACTTTATCTGGCATTATTTAGCCGTTGTGATCACTATATTGCGAGCTATTGGTCCCAATTTCAGGGATTCATTATATACAATTTTTTCCCCCCTTTTACTAATATTGTTCACATCAGTGCAGTCCCATTTGGACTTTTTGCTTTCACTGTTTCTTGTTTTGACACCATGTTTAGTCACTTTTTTTTCACCTTTGATCCCAGAGTGGATCAGTTCACTTCACGATAAGGGATTATCATTCACAGTATACACTAATAGTCACTTATAAGTTATTCTTAAACAATATTAATTGTATTTTGGATTTATTAGAAGGCAATATTCAGGGTAGCGCTGCACCAGTTTATATATATTTTGTCTAATCTTGCTTTCATCACTCAATAAAATGTTGTAACATTTTTTTTTAACCCAGTCAATGTGTTCATGTTACCTCTTTAGCACATGTAGTTTTTTTTCAACAATGGGACACATAGGCGTCTTGTAATTGTTACAGTACTCACAGGTAACTTTAGACCTTTGATCACCCTGGAGCTGATCATTGGCTGAGTCCTTGCCATTTTGGCTATTCTTTGATCCATTCGATAGTTTTCCATTTTCTTCCACATCTTTCTGGTTGGTTGCCATTTTAAAGTATTTGAGATTGTTTTAGCTGAGCAGCCTATCTGTTTCTGCACTTCTTTTTAAGATGATTGGAGAGGGGAAAACATGTAATCAGAGTGTGCGGCTCTTCTGAACAATGTCTGCAACGACCCATTTTACTCAGATTTTCTGAGAGAAATGCACTATACCCAGCATGTACAACATTTGCTGCCTTCGTTCTTAAATAAGGGCCACCTGCTTGACAGTTGCTTTTTCACAGACTTAGTGACCTCATTAATTGATCTCCTCACTGCTATTATTTTGAACGCGCCCCTTTCAAACAATTGAATTACACAGAATCAGAATCGTGCATGTCATGACTGTTGGGTCTATTACTCTACTACACCTACTAGTAAATTATTTGACATATAGAAATATAATTTATACCAAAAACGGTGGTTAATGATGTTGGACTGCTATTATTTTGAACACAGCTGTATATAGTTGGTAAATCTAAAGGTGAGTGTGTGTGGCCAGTTTAGAGCAGGATTAAACAATATCCTTATTCTTCAAAAATGATCAATACATATGCGTCTTAACCTGTAATCTATTTTTCATGTAATTTTCTTACGAAGGACATTTCAAGGAGGCAGAAAAACCGTGAGATCTTGAACCTCTCCATTTTCTTCTGACTTCTATTTGTTTGGAATGACCAGTGCTTGTAGAAGCCATGTGAACTGCTGTATGCACACTATACATACTATAGTCCACAGCCAAAGAGGATGGTTCTGTTCCTACGTACAGTGGGACCAATGTAGCCACCCTCAAACAAAATCGGATCACAGCAGTAAAAACAAAAAGAATTTGGAGATGCGGAGTAGGCTGAGAGCAATAGAAGGAGCTCTTTTTTTTTTTTTTTTTTTTTTTTTAATAGTTAAAGCGGAACTTTTTACCCATAACAGTTTGGAAAAGAAATGTTCTTTAGAAAGGAACAACATATACAGTGAAGGAAATAAGTATTTGATCCCCTGCTGATTTTGAATGTTTGCCCACTCACAAAGAAATGATCAGTTTAAAAATCGAATGGTAGGTGTATTGTAACACCGAGAGACAGAATAGCAACAAAAAATTAAAAAGAAATGCATGTCTAACAAATGATGCACTGATTTGCATGTTCATGAGGGAAATACGTATTGATCCCCTGTCATTCAGCAGGATTCCTGGCTACCAGGTGTCTTTCTTACAGCTAACAAGCTGAGGTTAGAAGTAGTCTCTTAAAGGGAGTGCTGCTAATCTAATTTTGTTACCTGTATAAAAGACACCTGTCTACAGGAGCAATCAAACAATCAGGTTCCAAACTCTCCACCATGGCAAAGACAAAAGAGCTGTCCAAGGATGTCAGGGACAAGATTGTAGACCTACAGAAGGCTGGACTGGGCTACAAAACGATCGCCAAGCAGCTTGGTGAGAAGGTGACAACAGTTGGTGCAATCATTTGCAAATGAAAGAAACACAAAACAACTGTCATTCTCTCTAGGTCTGGTGCACCATGCAAGATCTCACCTTGTGGAGTGTCAGTGATCATGAGAACAGTGAGGGATCATCCCAGAACTACACATGAGGATCTTGTCAATGATCTTCAGGCATCTGGGACCACAGTCACCAAGAAAACAATTGATAACACACTACGCTGACAATGATTGAAATCCCGCAGGGCCCATAAGGTCCCTCTGCTCAAGAAAGCACATGTCCAGGCCCATCTGAAGTTTACCACTGAACATCTGAATGATGCAGAAGAGGACTGGTTGAAAGTGTTGTGGTCAGATGAGACTAAAATCGAGCTCTTTGGCATCAACTCAACTCGCCATGTTTGGTGGAGGAGGAATGCTGCCTCTGTCCCCAAGAACACCATCCCAACTGTAAAACATGGTGGTGGAAACATTCTGCTCTGGGGGTGTTTTTTCTGCTAAGGGGACAGGACAACTGCACTGCATCAAAGGGACGATGGACGGGGCAATGTACCGTCAAATCTTGGGTGAGAACCTTCTTCCCTCAGCCAGGACATTGAAAATGGGTTGTGGATGGGTGTTCCAGCATGACAATGACCCAAAACACATGGCCAAGGCAACAAATGAGTGGCTCAAGAAGAAGCACATTAAGGTCCTGGAGTGGCCTAGCCAGGGTCCAGACCTTAATCCGATTGAAACTTTGTGGAGTGAGCTGAAAGTTCGAGTTGCCAAATGCCAGCCACCAAACTTTAATGACTTGAAGAAGATCTGCCAAGAGGAGTGGGCCAAAATCCTTCCTGAGATGTGTGCAAACCTGGTGGCCGACTACAGGAAACATTTGACCTCTGTGATTGCCAACAAGGAATTTGCCACCAAGTACTAAGTCATGTTTTGTGAAGGGGATTAAATACTTATTTCCCTCATGAACATGCAAATCAGTGCATCATTTGTTAGACATGCATTTCTTTTGAATTTTTTGTTGCTATTCTGTCTCTGTGTTACAATACATCTACCATTCAATTTTTAGACTAATAATTTCTTTGTGAGTGGGCAAACATTCAACATCAGCAGGGGATCAAATACTTATTTCCTTCACTGTATTCCAATAAAATAATTATGCTATCAAAAATTAGTGTGTGCTATAAATTGCCTCCAGCAATGTTCCAGTTTCTTCTTACTGGAGGCTGCCATTTTGCTGAAGCCTAGAGCCCCTGGACTGCAGTACATTTTTAGGTTGTCAGCACATCGGCCTCTACATTTTCGGCATACTGCTGAAAAATAGAGCGCAAATGAGCATGTTGTGCACAGCAGCGTGAGACAGTGTATTACTGGATTTTAAACAGTATAGACACTTATTTTTAACCTTTTTAGATAGCTATACCTAGCAGAACTTAATTTGCTGACTAAAGTTCCACTTTAAAAACACAGAATTGCCTAGAATTTGTTTTTTTTTTTTCAACCAGAGTTTAGTGTCACTTTAAATGTTTGCTGATAGGCCAACATCCCTGCAAGTTGTACTCTCCAGTCTGTGCTCCCTTGCTTCCTCTCCAGTGCTGGAGTCAACTCTAAACTCCATTGCCATGTGGTGATGGAACTTACCATGGTGGAACGAAGTCATATTGAGATTATTTCACATGCTCCCCTATATTTGGAAGCCCCACTCCATTGGAAATTGCAGATCAGTGAGAATAACTTGCTCTGGGGTTAGACTATCAGCAGTTAGTCACTTTGCACTTAAAGGACAAAGTGACAGTGTGTCCAAGGATTTTAAAGTGTCAAAAAAGTGTCTTTCTAATCATCTGGCAATAAATTTTTTTTTTTTGGATGTTTATCTTCTCTTTTATCTGTGTTTCCAAACCTGATGCAGATTGAATGACCCGAAGATGACAGAAGCCGAGCGACAGTCAATAGAAAGTGAACGTGCAGATCGCAGCCTCTTTGTCCAGGAGCTCTTGCTTTCTACATTGATGCGGGAAGAAAGCTCCTCCTCAGATGAGGATGAGCGGGGGGAAATAGCCGATTTTGGGGCTATGGGTTGTGTAGATATAATGCCTTTAGATGTTGCTTTAGAAAACTTAAATCTCAAAGAGAGTAATAAAGGAAACGAGCCTCCGCCACCTCCTCTTTGATGACATCCCCCTTTGCAGACAATGTCCTCTGTGCTGTAACTGCCAATGAAAGTGGACAAACAACTATCTTTGGGTTTGTTTTGGTGATTGTAATTTCCAGTCTGTCACTCTTGTTACATTGTGTACATTCAAAAACGTAAAAAAATGTAAAAAAAAAATGAAAAAAAGAGACAGAAGCAAATATATATGACAAAATCACTTAACTAATTTTTACTTCTAGCAAATATACATAGGTAGCAGTTCCAGAGGCAGCCGTCTGCTTCCTGTACCTTGACATAAACAAAAATAAAGCTCTCCTAATCTCCCACATTCAAACTGAAGAGGAAAAATCTATATGGATAAAAAAAAATCTCTAATGAAGCTGCTGTGTGTATTTATGAATATTAATTAATAAAAACTGCTTGGATGGTTTACCATAACTACTGCATGAGGTTTTTTGCAGCGTGCATGAGTTTTTAGTGACATTGTCATTAAGAAAAAAGACAAAAGAAACAGACTTAAATTCTAAGACTGTTAAACCGTAAATCCCAAAGCTTTCCTAAACATTATTCAAAAGGTTACAGCACCTGACGACATGCAAAGTTAACCTAAACTCTAGTGGGTTTCAGCCTTGGATCTTTTGAATAATGTACGAATATTTTATGTGCGTGAAAAGCAAGTTCTGCAGTGGCATTAACTGTATGTCTGCTTGGATTTTCATGTGACAATTTCTCTAAAATGCCATCATATGCAGTTGCCACTAGAAGGGTGTTTTACTAAATTATAAATAGTTTTAAAAAAAAATCTTATAGATTTGTTGTGTATTTTGCTAAGTATACTGATAAGGCATTATTTAATCATTAGATGGCAGCATTGTCCTTTTTTTCATTTCGATCAGAGATGCATGATGCCTCCATGTGCAGAAGGAAGAATAACTATATATGTTGCCTGTAGCATCCAATCAAATTCTTTCATTTTCTAGCTTGAACTGGAAAATGACAGCTGGAGGTTTGTTACAGGCAACACAATCCTTCCTTTTTTTTTTTTTTTTTTTTTTTTTTTTTTTTTTGTAGGACACCTTAAAAAATGTGAGGTATAATGTATTGTCTAATCTGAGCAATCTATGTGGATGATCTCGACCAAATCACTAAAAGCAAATATGCAAAATTGACTCCATAGTGACCTTCTTTTAATTCCAGTTTAAACTTTAATTACAATTATACATTGACATTACAGTCAGGCCGCTTCAGAAATTGCAATATGTGATCCTTCGAGCAAACCTTGTTTTTTCTATGTTTAAATTTTTTTTTTTTCCTTCATGTGGTTAACAAAGCCTTTTCAACTGTTCAATTTGTTTTATCCAGGTGTAGATAAATTCATTTAAATTCTGTTTAAAGGCAAACGTTATCCCAGATTATGTTGTCTTAGTTTTAAAAAAAGTCCTTTTCACATTCTTAATTCTATTTTTCCTGAGTTCTCTTATTTATGTATTTGCTTCCTAGTTTGCAAAGATTGTCCACAAAAAGGAGAGCTTGAGGATTTTCCCTCCCAGACTTTGTCAGTATATAATACGTAATTCCTAATGCTGTTGTTAGCACTTTTTTATTTATTGTTACTTTTTTGATTTTTCTTTTGGCATACAATTAAAAAGCCTTTGATTAAAATCATGCCACCTACATGCCTATACTATTAATCCTATATGAAAATATGTACAGAGTTCAGTGTACAGTGCATAGAATTTCATAAGGGTCCCGACAGTGGGTAGCAGGTTACTTTTTGTTTTTGTTTAGCAATGTACAGTTAGTATATAAAGAAAATAAAAGGACAAAAGAGTATGCACAGCTTTCTGATGAATTTACCAATATATTATCACTTGATCATGTCTGCATTTATTCCTCTCTTCCTTCTCCTTCACTTGGCAACTGCCAATTGTTGCAGCATCACCTTGTGTGCAATTGGAAATACAGTGGTGTGTTGTAACCCACAATAACACTGGGTATATTAGTGATTGTTCCTCTCACCTATATACTGACATTATGTATTCCTGCAAAGTGTTGCACTTGAATGTTTCACCCCCATCCATTCGAGGGTTATGGTGCTGAAGGGTTAAAATGAAGAGGTGATCCTGGTTTTCTAGTCTTCTGTTGTAGCAGTTTTTCCCTTTTTTTTTTTTTTTTTTTTTTTTTTTTCCTGTTTTTTCCCCCCTCCATTTTTTTTTTTTTCTTTTTGTTTTGTTGACGGTTTCCAGAAAAAAATGAAAAACAAGGAAAAAAAAACTCAACAAAACGTTTCTTTAAGCTGTAGTCTTTTCAAACACATTCTGCACATTACAGCTATAAGTTCAGTTCAATAAAGCATTTTCAAGACTGTTGCCCCTTGAGTTTCTTTGTGAGTAAATAATAACAGGAAACGCAGATGAGTATTTTCTCCAGAATGATGACGGAGATCTAATTTTATACTGCAAAGTACCCATGTTTGGTTCTTTGCACTGAATTACATCAGGGCTTGACAAATTTGCTTTGAATCTAGTAGCCAGCTAAAAAAAGTCAGGCACCAAGAATGTGTGACGTGTTTCTGAGCATGCGCGATGACCGTGTTAGACAGGCGCACTGCTTTTTCAAGCTTGAGAAAGGAGTGTGCCTGTCCAACACGGACAGTGAAGTCCAACATTAATGCTCACCATACACTATACAATCGGATTGTATGGTCTCCTTAGATCTTTCATCAACTATGTGCTGCAAGGGCCTGCCTGCTTGGAAAGTATTGATTAGGTAGGTCCTCATATAATTTTGGTAACTCTATAGAAGATTGTACAATGTATATGGGCAGATGAACATAGGAGTAGAGAGCCTATGCGGTCTATGGAGTGGAAGTAGAAAACATTAAATAAACAGAAAAGTGGGTTGGCAATGCAGCAGAATTGCAGATCTGTTGGCTGGAATGAAGTTAGTGATGTCAGCACTCCCCCATCCCCCCCCAAAATCCCTAACAGTATAATGGAAGAGCCATAGACACATATGAGCTTCACTACTATGCAGGAGTGTTATCCTATCTTTTGTAGACTGGGCTTTTGTCAGCCCATTGAAAAAGCGAAAAAAAAACTCTGATGCCCGGATGCAATTTCTAGTCACCATGGCAACCTGGTGCCTGGGATTTTTCGAGCCCTGGATAACAATAAAATACAAATGTATGTTTTTGTTTTTTTTTTTTTTTTTTTTTTTATTAGCTTATTTCTGTAAAACAAGCTGAAAAGTACTTGGGCAAGATGAGAAACTTCTATACAAGACTGGCTGCACTCGAGTAGCTCAGAGATGAATAAACTTTATGTGCGATCACAGCAGAATCCATCCTCGTATCAACAGAAGGAACTGGTCGAATCTTGAAGGTTGAGCTATATCCAGCCAGGGACGCCATATCTGCAGAAATTTTGTATGGGTATCCAACAATATGGCCGTCAGTTTTTCATTAACCATTATGAACTTCATCCGGTTTTTGACAGCCTCAAAACTAAGCAGAGGAGTTTTCCAAGCTCTCGCAATTGTCAATTTAGTTGCCATAAATAAGTGTGATGCCAGCTTCACAGAACCGAGGAGGCTCTCCAGTGGTTTAAATAGAAGCGCTTCATACGGGTTACGCTTAATGTCTGTGTGAAGGATAGTGCGGAGGAGGGCATACACCCTAATCCATAATCTGTTTACTTTAGGGCAAGTCCACCAGATGTGGGCCACGGTACCCAATTGTTGGCATCCCCGAAAACAGACCAGGGAATATGTAGGGATAAAACTAGACGAGCAGGCGTATAGTACCATCGGTAAAGAATTTTGTAGGCATTCTCAATGATAATGACATTCCTAGAACATTTAGATAATGCTTGGGTCATGGTCTGCCAGTCCTGTTGATCCAAAGTCCCCACTAATTCAGACTGCCAACGCTGATGATAGGAACGAACCGGAGGGGTTCTATAAGATGTAATGGAAGAATAAATCAAGGAAATCAAACCCGGGGCATGAGGTAAGTGTATACATTTTAAAATTACAGGTTATGTCACTTCTTTGCAATTTGTCTAAAATCTTTATTTTAGAAATAAATATTCAATACTGGGTACTTCAGTGACATTGTTTGCAGAAAATGCTTGGCCTTTAACTAGGCCCAGCAGTAGTTGCTTACTTTTGGAATGTCTTTATGTACTCTGCAGAGCCCTATGAACAGGAAATGAGGGGGGTCCCTCTACCGTTTGACTCATTCAGATGTTTATTCTGAATAGAGCTAGAGGATGAAAATACATCCTAGGCATATAAGTAAATAGCTGTTGAAACTTTGTAGGTTGCATATGGTAAAATACATTGCATATAGAAAAAGGTGTATTTTTTTTTCCCAATGTTTAACTGAACTGAAATAAGATTTTGATCCAGTAAAATTGTTTTCTTGATGTCCATTGAAGGACACAGCAAGACAATTCTTCGACATATGGGTTTTACTGCTACCTTCAGGAGGTTTGGATACTGGCAAACAAAATACATTAAGTCAGCACCCTTGTAATCCTGTTTTTCAACCATCATGTCTCAGTATGTGAAGAAAATGGGGTCCGGACCTGTCTTTCAATGAACTTCAAGAAAAGATTTTGCAGTCAGTGTAAAAATCTTTTTTTTTTTTTTTTTTCCCCTGATTGTACAGAACAGGAAAGGAGCTTCTTTAAATCATCATGAGTGGGACGAAAAGTAGCTCAAGTGAGCAGAGTGAAATACATACAAAAAGGAAAAAAAAAAGCATACTTAAAGTGGCTGTAAAGGTAGGAGGTTTTTTTTACCTAAATGCATTCTCTGCATTAAGATAGAAAACCTTTCATGTTCAGCTCCCCTCCTGAATACTTACTTGAGCCCGATCTTGATCGAGCACTGTGCCTTAGAGCAGCAGCGCTTCTCTCTCTCTTCTCAGGGGCCATTGGCTCCTGCTGCTGCCAAACAAATCCTGTGAGAAGTGATCTTTACAGGATAAGATCAGACCAGGGAAAAAAAAAAAAA